TTTTTTTTTTTATTGCGCTTCATTGAGCTCATTTTTTCTGTAAAACAATGAAATACTACTGATGTCAATGAAGGATTACAGTAAAATATGAAAGCATGTCCCTACTGATGCTTTTGCATTGACATTTTTTTTTACTAAAGTGTAAATTTGGTACTTTTTGACTGCTAACAATCTGCTAGTAAACTCTGGAGTGCAGCTTAAAGATTTTAGGAAATGATCTAATTGTGATTTTTCTGGCAGATATTTCGTTTCCAATTCGATTCATGAGTTTCATCAAATTAAGCTTCAGCACAAAATTCAAAATGTACAGCAATATTTATAAAGATGATAGAAAATGACATAATCATCTTTTTAAGTAAAATTGAAAAGTAACGGTAACAAAATTAAACTTAATGAAATAAAGATGAAGCCAACAGAAACCTCTCATCTGCGAAAAGCAGAGATTCTGAGACCACCCGAGTAAAAGCCACTTGGCTACACCTAGAAATTCTGTCCATAAAATTCTGAACAGAATCGGTGACAAAGGTCGGCTCTGGCGGAGTCCATCACTCATCAGAAACCAGTTCGAAAGTAGTGTTTTATGGCATTAGTCATCTCCCAATGTCTTTTGCTTCTCATGTCTAACGGAGTTAAACTGGCAAAAGATGCAGTAATTGCAGGCTGTGTGCGACAATGAGCCTTGAGCACCACTTTCACTTGACTCTTCGCCAGACTTTTTTGTCATGCACTCTTCATTCAAAAGCCTGCGGTGATTTTTCAAGTGCCGGTATAAGTTGGTTGCGTTTCTGCTAGATGTTACAACTTTAGTGCAACAGGCTTTGCAGTACCTGTTTCTGGTTCACATCTCCAGTCTCAAACCCAAAATACTCACAAATTACCGATGTGCTGTTTTTCTTAAGTATTAAATCTCCTAACTGCCCTTCCTGTTCTCCATATGTGCAGTGAACACAGTACATGGTTCCTGATCACTGTTGTGAGCTCAAGCAACCCCTTTATCACAATCTGTAGCAGCAGACACGTTTCACTCAGTTTCCTGTTTGCTGAAAACATATTTAGTTTTTATGGTACAATATTAAATGGCGCATATTTTGCTTTTAAGTTTGGAGGATTCACTTATTAAGAAACTCTCTCGTCGAACTGTACATAATGGTGCAGGTATGTTGGTAAAACCTCATTTTAGATTAATAGCACTTGCAAATAATTTGTTCAGAATTTGTTGAGCACTTTGACTGAAGCTGTAAATTTAACTGTTAGTTATAACC